CCCCAAAACCCCAAAACCCCAAAACCCCAAAACCCCAAAACCCCAAAACCCCTTTTCTCCTTGTGAGAATTGGGCCAATATAAAATATTATTAATTCAAAAATGATAAATGAAGAAGAAAAACAGGAGTACAAAAGCATGAAATACTCCACATCTCAGGCTGGGCTGTCCCAGTCCAAGAAGCAATCTATAGAGTTTACAAGGCATAAGCCTAACATGAGGAGCACTACCAAGATCAGCCAATATTCCGGCTCAAAAATGAGGAAACGGAAGAAGATAAAGGCCATTCCTTTCCTCAACCAGACTCCTATAAAAATACGCCCTTACAGTTCTAACCAAAAAGACCTGAGTGATAGTAAGAGTTTGTCAAAGTTCAGGGCTGAGAAGAACATCTTCAGTCATGTCCCAAAACCGAAGAAAGGGAAAGAACCTATAAATTCAAAGTAAATAGATCTTTATTTTAAAAACCACCTGACTATATTCCTCTCTAGTCAAATTGGTGACTTTATCTCTAGGTACAAAACTAAATCAATGAAGATAAAGGCTAACATAAAGGCCCACCAGAGCAATAGTTCCAATAATTCAGAAGTTGACAATCCGGTCAGAAAGTTAGTCTACGCCTCTTCTGACATGAACCATCTCCATATGATGAGCTCTCCCGATCCGTTCTCTGGCAACCAGAAAACCTTTGAAACGTATAATGAGAACCCTCTACATGAGAAGTTCAGATCTAAAAGAATCGGGTCCGCAGCTCCTATCCAGTCTCCATTCAAAAATAAAGACTCAGGTAATATAGATATCGAATCTAGCACAGAGTTCCAGGCTGGAAGTCTTGACCCTTACCTATTTGTTTATAGGAGTATTCTGCAATCCTCGCAAAAAGTCATGAATGGTCAAATCAGACAAGACTCTAGAACGATCTGGTATTCCAAAATCTACTCCTTACAAGAAAGCAAAGGATGTGCTGTCTCAAGGCCCAAACTTCTCAGATGTAGATCAAAAGTAAGCAAATTATTTTATTTTTATATCGAATTAGTTATGCTGACCCTAACCGTCCATCTAGTGATTATTATGTTGAAGAAGTACCTGACTCAAGGTTGTAAGCTTACAAATAACTTGCTATAGGCCTCATGAATACATGAATTCTGATTTCATTAAAGGACTAATGACCTTAAGCCCTTCCCATGGATTCCAAGATGATGGTAAATCACCCTTCTAAAAATAGACGACTCGCTAAACCTCCTACAAGAAGTTGATAAACTAATTGAGGATGATAACCAAAATTATATCAAAGAAAATATCTTTGGAAATCGTGCTCGAAGTGAACAGAGGACACTAGAGACGTTTAATTCACCCACCTACAGCAATGAGACCAAGGACCGACACTTTGCAATGAGCCAGAATAAATTTAACGAAGAAAAGAAAGCTAGAGAGATGCTTAACTCTTTTATGAACAAGTAAGTTCACAACAATGATCATAGAATGACTCCTCTATCGATTAGCGAATCTTCCTTAAATAGCTACAGCAATGATGAATACGACATGTTCTCAAAGAATAGCAAGACACATGATATCAGAACAACCCACCAACTTAAAAACATGAAAGCTCCCAAATCCGAAGAACGAGAGGACTCTATCAATCATGCTTACAACCCAAACGACTCGATAAATGGTGCGTGCATCACCGGCAATTTCGGAGGTACTTTTAGCAACTTCAAAATTGAGAGCAAAAGAGGGTTCAGTAGCTTCCGCTGTACCAAAAGTATCGAAAAACTTATCAAAAAGTTCGATATTGATATCAGAAGCTCCATCCCAAACAGCATAAAACCGAGCTCAAAAGATATAAAATCCCACAAAGGGAATTCCTCAGTTATCCAAAGCCAACTCGTCGTTTTTGAAGAAGAGAAAAGGATGCGGGAAGAGAAGCAGCACATCTCAGATAGCATCAACAAGATATTCAGAATGTACGAGAAAGTGTACAACAAAGTTTTCAAAAAGCATGCTGTAAAGGGCGAGTTTTCCAATGCTAAAAAGGACAATCCAAAGTACACTAGAGTACTGCAAGTCTTTCATAACATAAACAAAATGATATGTCAGTATAACCCAAGCCACTCCATATCGCTTATCAAGCTGTGGAAGCACAATGAGAAGATCAATGAGGCAGTCCATAACTCTATAACCGAAGAGAGAAGGAAGTACACAGAACATATTAATCAACACTTCAACGGGATTTTGCTCGAGTGAAACAGTAAGTTAATTAACTACCAAATCTCAAATTGTACAGATATTTTCTCCCTGCTAGACTCCAGAAACCAAGACATCCTCTCCTTAGTAGAATACACAGCAGAGATGAAGGAAGTCATCGAACAAGTAACCATAGACTTATTATATGTAGATGAACAAGTCCCTTGAACAGAAAGAAAAATAAGTTAGCAGAATACGACAATCTTAAACATAAGATTCAAGAGTTTCTACCAAATTTCGAGATCTACTGAGATCACATGGCTGTGTTGCAAGATAATCCTCCAATGCCTATCCCTATGGATAAATCCCTGGATAGCTCGACGCAGACAGAACCAAGGAACTCCCAATCAGGCTATATAAAATAAACTTTTTCAGCAAGATTGTGAGAAACTGGTGAAGAAATCAGAAATTGAATCATCCCGAGCTGACTCCCACAAGGAAGAATATGAACACATCATCCAGGACCTTCGTGCACAGATAAAGTAAGCCTCAATGCTCACTGCTAGGTTGCTTCAAGAGGATGACTCGATCAATAAGTTCACATCAGCCAAGGACAAAGGAATCAAGAAGTGTACATCTGATAGCTTGAGAAACAACGCAACAATTGTGCCTAAGCTAAACATAGACCTAAATGAAGAGCTTGAAGAAGGAAAGTGAAGCTCCTACAGACGCAAAGATATCATTCACCTCCGGAGGAAGCCTGATGAGTTGTCAAATTCAGGCAAAAAGGAGTCCAATCGGTCCCACACCACAACAGAAAGTAAGATTCCTCCTCTACATCTTGTTCAAGGGTTAAATTAAAACTAACGATTTTGCAATGAAGATTGTACCATTCCACTTATAGATCAGTCAAGCAGCCTAAACTCAAGCCAACATTTAAAATCTAGTAAGCGGCCTAAGAGGGTAATTGTCAAAAAGAAGCTGAAAAAGGGAGGAATGAGCACCCTCCTTAAAAGAAAGTTTGATTAAAATATATTTTTCCTCAATCTTATTCTATAATTTTGGGGTTTTGGGGTTTTGGGGTTTTGGGGTTTTGGGG